GTCACCTTTGGCGTCAATTGCGCTCCCTATCTTGCAATCCGTACGCTCCATCAGTTAGCGCAGGATTGTCAAGACGAATTCCCGCTCGCCAGCAATATCCTCCTACGCGAAACATACGTGGACGATATTCTCTCAGGCGGGCATAATATACACTCCACTATAAGCTCATTATCTCAAGTTAAAGACGCCCTAAAATCTGCAGGCTTTCCACTACGAAAAATCACCTCAAACCACCCAAAAATCCTGGAATCAGTCCCAGATTCCGAGGTCCTTGATGTTGATTTTCTCCAGTTTCAAGACACTAGCTCTACTAAAACCCTAGGCATAAAAGGGAACGCGCCTTCGGACTCCTTCTCTTACACGTACGATCCCGTTCCCGCTGCAAATTCGAGGACAAAACGGCAAATATTATCAGCGGTAGCGAAGTTGTTTGACCCGGCAGGATGGCTAACGCCAATAATGATTTCCGCCAAAATGCTCCTTGAGCAACTATGGATGGAAGGCACTGACTGGGACGAGCAAGTAAAACCCAGCGCTTTCCACAAATGGAACACTCTGCGCGAAAATCTCCCCGCTATTAATGAAATTGTTATTCCCCGCTGGGTGCAATTCTCCCCTACTCACCGTGTACAAGTACACGGGTTTTCAGACGCCTCTGAAAAAGCTTATTGCGCCTGTGTCTACCTCCGAGTACAAATTGACGAAAACTCCTTCTCGTCACACATACTCGCAGCTAAAAGTAAGGTAGCCCCCCTGCAAACAGTCAGCCTCCCCAGACTTGAGATCTGTGGAGCCGTCCTACTCTCCAAGCTGGTTAATCAACTCCACTCGCAACTAGATTTGCCTGCTCATGATTTATACCTCTGGTCAGATTCTTCCATTGTGTTGGCGTGGTTAGAAAAACCGCCACACACTTGGAAAACTTATGTTGCCAATAGAATTTCGCTCATACTCCAAAATGTGAGCAATGCCACTTGGCGGCATGTACCTGGTGCAGAGAATCCTGCCGATCTAGGTACCCGCGGATGCCATCCCCAAGATCTCGCGACATGCGCATTATGGTGGAATGGCCCAGAATGGCTGCAAAAACTCCCCACTTCGTGGCCAAAAAACCCATCTCCACATTCGTCACCCCCAGAACAACGACGTATTGAGTCCCTGCACACGATTGAATCGGTGGACATACTTGAGCGTTTCTCCTCCTTTGCTCGAGCATTGCGAGTAATCGCGTTTATGTATCGGTTTATAAACGCAGCGAGAAAACAGCCGATACCCACTTCTCCCCCCTTAACGCACGAGGAAATAAATCACGCCAAACTACGCATTATCGGTCAGACCCAAAGTCAGTACTATATCAACGAAATCAGCTCATTAAATGCAGGAAAATCTATTAGCAAAAAAAGCCCTTTACTGACTCTGAATCCGATGGTGGATCGAGCTGGAATTATGCGCGTGAATGGACGTTTAGCTTACGCAGCTCTCAGTTACAATGAACGTCACCCGATCATAATTCCAGAAAATTCCAAGCTCTGTGCTCTGCTGCTCGACTTCCTCCATACAACGCTTCTCCACGCTGACAAACAACTAATGATTCGAATGGTGCAGCAAGAATATTATATCCCCAAGTTGAAGCAAAAGATAAAAAAATGTATTTTCCAGTGCAAGGTATGCACAATCTATAAACAAAGGATACGTTCACAGATAATGGCCGCGCTCCCCCCTGAACGATCTACCTATACACTCCCCTTTCATACCACAGGTGTTGACTTTGCTGGACCATTTCTGGTGAAAACATCTACCCTCCGACGAGCTCCTCACGCAAAGGCGTATGTGTGTGTATTTGTGTGCTTCTCAACCAAAGCAGTACACTTAGAATTATGCTCAAGTCTGACCACTGAAGCGTTCAAAGCAGCTTTCACCCGATTTATCGGCCGCCGTGGAATCCCCAATAAAATCATGTCCGACAACGGAAAAACTTTCGTAGGGGCGCAGCGAACGCTGCAACGAGAATTCTCCCAATTTCTCAAAGAATCGGCTACTGATATCGCTGAAAAATACGCAACCCACGGATTCTCATGGCAGTTCATCCCACCATATGCTCCTCACATGGGCGGGCTATGGGAAGCTGCTGTAAAAAGCTTCAAAATTCATTTTACGAAGGTCGCAGGAAATCACAAGTTCACCTTCGAAGAATTCACCACCCTCCTTATCCGAATTGAAGCGGTGTTGAATTCAAGGCCGCTCTCCTCAATGTCTCAGGATCCCACTGATCTGTTGGCGTTAACGCCAGGACATTTCTTACGTGGTGCCCCACTACTCTCTTTGCCTGAACCCCACTCGGAAACCCTCTCATTGACGAACAAATGGCAAAAATTGAAGGTTATTCATCAGCAATTCAGTAATCGCTGGAAAAATGAATATCTAAAAGAACTCCACAAACGGCATAAGTGGAAGCGACAAGAACCTAACATTAAGGAAGGAGACCTCGTTGTAGTCAAGGACGACCTTCTACCCCCTAACGAGTGGAGACTCGGGCGCGTTGTGAAACTTCACCCAGGTCAAGATGCAAATGTTCGCGTAGCGGTTATTCACACCCAAGCCGGAACCATCACGCGCAATATTGCAAAGCTATGTCTATTGCCCACTCTGTAGAATCTCTCTATCCGCCCTTCATGCTGTCACCCACTCTAGTTCCCATATATGCACCCCCAGTTCGCTCTAAAAATGACGTGACTAATTCATTTTTTCGACGGTTTCTCCACAGATGGACAGACGTGAGATGGAAGTCAACCAATGCCGCTTGTGCTGCCGCTACCACCCGCTTAGATTTTGTCACGCGTTCCGCGCTATGACGCCCGATGAGCGGTATGAATCCGCGCGGATACACAAATATTGTGTTAATTGTTTGGCCACCTCGCATACCACAGGCGCATGTAGCTCAGCGGACAGCTGCCACCGGTGTGGGATGGCACACCACACCATGCTGCATCGTCCAACGGCATCGCCACCGGAACGCCATCGCCGCGCCAGGTCACGTACACAAGTCCCCCGCGGACCATCCACACTCGCCAGCCGTGTGGTCAAATCGCCAGCAAGTCGGGCCCCAGGTGGCCGCAACCAAGTTCAACGGCGCATTCGGGACTTATTCGACCGGGCCAGGGTGACCCTCGCGAAGCTTCAAGAGTTACTTCACCTGGCACCGGTGCAGGCGGGCCGGCATGTCGAGGACATGGGTAACCTCAT